TTTGTTGTTGATTCTCTTCATACAGTCTATTCGGGTACTTTTGTAAGTATTCTTTTACCTAGTATATAAAACAAATGATTTTTAAATTCACTTCTTAATTAAATAATGAAGCAAGTGAATTTAAAAATCAATTATGATGTTTAAATGGTATAAAAACTATTATTATCTTTGTTATTATTGTAGAAACGTATGATGGTAATGTGGTTTACAAGTCGTGGTGAACTACATTCCATACACCAAAGTTTAAATATGATCGAAGCTAAGTTGGACTCTATTCAGTATCCTACTACTACATACCATTTACCATCTCAATTAAGATTTTTTAAGACATACAAAGGGAACGAATATCGTCTAACTTTACTATTTGGATATCAGTAAGTTTTTCATATGCGATGAGTAACCCTTATTTTTATAGTCAACGTCATCACAAATATCTCATATTTTTATTCACAATATAGGTGTTAAAACAAACATAAAAAGCAGTGCAATAGTATATTTTCAAAAGCAGTGCTAGTAAAAATCAATCATGTCAAGCCGTTCTCGTTTCGATATATAGAACCATAGTCATATGAAACTACATAAATATAAATTCTGAAGTAAACAATAACTTCAATTTTGCATTTTTGAAAATTTGTTTTGCAATTTGAAAACTAAATTTCTAAATTTTTGAAGGTATTTCAAATCAATTCTTCCCGAACAACATTATCAACATCTAAAGTTCTTGGCATTTGCGATGGCTTTAGCTGAATCAGCTGTTTTAGATAATGAAACAATCGAAACAATTGATGTTTTAATTGATGAATTTGATCGGTTGTATCCTGTGTTGTATTCAGTAAGACGCACATACAGTAGGAGTTTATTTCGACAGATCGGTTTGGAACATATTTCATATTTAGAAGATTGTCTTTTATTCGAATCATATCAAACGATATAGTTAGATTTCGATTCAGAAAACATATGCATGATTGTCTCTATTTCCTACCATGTTAATATGAACTTGAGAAAACAAATGATTTTGCAAAAACATGACATCAACTTTTATTATGCAGTTATCGTGTCATTTGCAAGATGAAAAAAAACTTGTGTTAGAAAGCGCACATGATTAAAAGGAAAAAAAAAATATATATATATATATATATATCAGAGACTGGACGAGTACAAGTACACCAAGTACAAGTAAAAATATTTTGTACTAGCTTCATTTACTTTGCACTTTACTTAGTAAGTTTTTACTTAAATATTTTTTACTTAGTACCAGTAAAAAGTACAACTTAGTAAAAAGTACATATGCTAAGTACTTTTATTCTTGAGCATAATTCGATGTTAACATAGTCTTAAATAACACTTAGATACGAAACAGTTAGCGTCAGTATAGAAATATCTATTTTTAAGAAACTGTTAAAGTACATTTTGTACTAATAGTACTGTACTGAAGTAAATTAGTACCCAGTACCAGTACACAGTTACAATTTCTAAGTACAAGTAAATTTACATGTACTGAAAAATTATTTACTTGTACTTACGATCCACAAGTACAAAACTTAGAAAGTACCAAGTTTTTTACTAAGTATCCTGTCTCTGATATATATATGTTTGGTGGTTGTTAATTAAATTTTTTTTAGACAGACTGTTTTGTTCATTAATTCATGATTAGATTGTCTTGTCAGTTTTTAAAATAAAAGATAGAATACCTTTAAAATTCTAACACTAGGTTGATATGAACTCGAAGTATTTCTTTGATGTTGTACCTTTTTATTATGTATCATCATCATCATCATTATTTTAATCAATATCAATTCGAATAGTACTAAATAATAGTTTTTTTGCATGATAAACTCAAACACATAATAGTGGTCAACATATATTCAATCTATAGTATATAGTATAACCTATCAAGATCAAATTCATAAATAATAGATTAGATTAGCGAGAATAAAAAAGAATTCTTTCGACTTATGTTGATGGTGTTCTATATATATATATTTATATGCTTAAAATAGTCAACTATTTCAGGCTGTTCAGGCTGAGATAGGTATTTATGAGCAAGTAGATCATTGTGCATCTACAAGAGAGTATTTCGAGTGATACTATGAACAAACACGAACTGTTGTAAAATATAAGAGTAAAGAATTCAACAAACATATATTATAATGAAAAACATCTTTCTATAGAAAGAAATCACATTGAAATGCATGCGAATATTTCTCTCTTGTTAGTTTGTAGACAAACGAATAGATTTTCAATGAACGTTATTTCTCTGTTTACCACAAGAACAAAATCTGTTTCTTTTTTACTAATATTTTCATATTTTGCTCACTCTCCTGAATACAGCTATGTTATAATTGTGATTTTGATCTATTTCTATCGACAAAGAATGACATTTCAAGGAGCAGCTTCATGTAAATAGTTTTATGTTACGAACAATTCTGTTAAAAACACGAATTTATAATTCAGTCTAGAACTGACATTTAGGATTCTTAAAAAATTATACCTTTCTTAACATACTTTTTTTTCAAGGAAAAATCAGTGACGTCTGTTATTCATTCAATGACTCATGTTCCACAATCGCTGAGAGACTATGGACCTATGCAGAACTATTCAACGTTTAATTTCGAAAGTGTTGTTGGTATGTTGAAAAAACATAGCATGTATTGTTTCAATTAGAGAAATCATTGCATATGTATAACTTTAGGTTGCATTATTCAATCTGTTAATGGTCCTAACTTAATCGTTACTGAGTTAATAAACAACATCAATCTTCTACAATGTGCTACAACTGAATTTAATAAAGATAATTTCAACGCATCACTTAAATTATTTGTACGACGTCTTTTCTCTTCAAAGCGACAAGCACTTCCAAAACAAAACAATATAGAAACAAATGAATTTTTCCGTGTTGCAAAGAAAATAGAATTACCCAATGATCACATCGTTATGAATCACTTACATAATCTTCCAATTCTTAACTTTTGTCTATATAAGACTTGTTGGAAAAACAAAGTACAGTTTTCGGTATACAATTCAAACTCAACCACAAAAAATAGTGACTCATGTATAATGTTTAAAAATGGTTTGAACGAAATGAGTTGTGGGTTTATAATGGCGATTATTTGTGATTCAAAACAAAAATATTCTCTGACGATTCATACAGTACATATTAATCGACGGGACTCTTTGACATTGAAGAAGAAATGTATAATTAATCCATTTATATTTTGGGGACAATTAACAGAACCACCTCAACTTGAAACAATTGATATTCAAGATATTAATGTGAAAATTGCTTACAGTAGAGCAGGCGACACTTTTCACTTTTTTCAATATCCCAACACAGTGGAAAGCACTTAAAAAAGACTACGGTGTATGCCTTTTGTTATTAAAAAAAAGACTATCAGTTTTAGAAGTATGATTCATAATCTCCTTAAGCTATTATTTCTTTTCAAATCACATTTATTCGTATTAAATTTGCTGCTTATTTGTTTTTTTATATGATATCAGATTTTGAATTGGTTACATAAATGTCATTTGCACTTTAGCTATTGAAAAACAACTTGATTATATATATAAACAATTAACTTTTGGATAGTTTAAACAGGTAAAATCTCAACATATAATTGCTAAAAAAAATATATATTTCATACGTTTTCACTACGGTAAATAATCAAATAATAACAAAACCTAGCCGTTAGAACGATGTAATTTCTAGATTTTTAGTAAAGAAAGAACCATTTTCTTATTACATCCGTTTAAACGGTATGAATTTTATAAAATGATGCGTGTCTGTATACTTATATTGTTTGGTTATATTTTCTAGAGGTTGAAAACGAAGAAAAATTTTATGAAAAAGTGAAACTAAAAAATTCTGTATTGGAAACGTTAATTTTTACCAGTTTGCATCGTTTTCCTGCAAAGTTTTTATATAAAAAATACAGAAAAAAAATTTACAGGAGAAAACAACATTATAATAGGTCGAACACCTATTTACACGTGGATCATTTATTTTTCGAAACTCATAGTACTATATACTTCAGGAAAACGCATCGTTTCAAGGCTTTTGAGTAGAAAACACATGTAAAAGGCAAATTCAGCGTTAACATGCTTCTAAAGTGGATATTCTGAACGTTTTCGCCTCCATAAAAAGTAGCTGTGAGAGTTTTTTCCGCTTTCACACTCACAAAAAGACTTTTTTATCGTTTACACAAGTGCACTTCTTTCGCACACGTTTAAACGCTTATAATACAACTTTTCAACTGTGAACACGCGTTTTTGAGAATTCTTGTCTGCTTGGGATACGGCCCAAAAAATAACTTTATCTAGTAATGGCTTTGCACGTATTTTTCGAAGAGAACAAAGAAGATTGTAACCCATAGATAGCATACCAGTATTAATTTGAATAACAGCAATAGTTCCTGGTCGTATAAAGTAATCAGAAAAGGATGCATTTCCAACGAGTAAAGGTTGATACCAAGGCGACAAGAACTTGCTTGAATCTATGATAACAAAAAAATATAGTTTTTGTTACATATTCATATCACATTTAATCTTTTAACACATGCTTAAGTATCTATTCTAGTGAGTCATTATGTGACGAGAACATAAGCTGTTTACGTTAACATAGCCAGGGAATGACTATTGAGCAATTGCTCAATATCGAAAAACATTGATATGCATGCATTTATCACAGCCGTTTTGAGATGGGATGTCTGCCATACTGCGGTGTACTTGATCTGTTGATCAGATATAATTGCGCACTATTACTCGAAAACCTGTAACTGCTGGTATGAATAGTTTGTGTAAAACTAGTTCAAAAGGAAAAAAAATAAGGTCGATAGCTTCGTTTTTTCAGAATCTCTTGTTAAATCATAAGAAAAATTTTCTAAAACAAAAACACATTTTGTGATAGACATAGACTGTTAAAAAGTTTTGATTGCT